TATATATATATATATATATATATATATATATACATACATACATACATACACATACATACACATACATACACATACATACACACACACACACACACACACACACATACTTTTAGCTAATCAATGAAATTCACAATGAATATCAGGGAACTTGACATCATAAATTAAACCTAATAAAAATACATTTGGAATCAAGGACAGGTTAGGACAAACTCTAATGCTTGTAGCAGCAAAGAGGATAGCCTTAACATTGATCTGGAAAAATATAGATTAATCCCTTGAAATACTTCACTGATGTTCTTTTAATGCTTCCTTATCTTTTCCAAGCATGGCAGTTTAAAAAATGGGTAAAGTTGCAAGACATATGTATCTAGCTTTGGTTTTTTCCAAGGTTGTATTTTAAAATATGTTTATTTAACTGTATATGACATTTATAGAAAACTTATAAGAACATTTTAGTCATATTAAGACAGCAAAACAACTAAAGATACAAATAATATGTACTGAGAGGGAAGAACCTTGGGTTTTGGTGTATCTCTAAAATAAAATTTGGAAACATATGCTACATAAAAAATGGCATTGGTTGGGATTTGGGCTTATGTGGTGGTGGAGACATTTTTCCATATTTCAGGAGTTGTGGGCCATCCAAAGTACAGCAAACCTGAAAAAGAAAGACATGGGAAAGGTAATACTACTTTTACTATAATATTATTATAGCAAGAGAACCTATACTCCCTTTCCCACTTCCTCTCTTTACCTTCAGGAAGTGTTATGTCTAAGAGGTTTCTCAAATTATATTTCTGCCCTGGACTCAGATTTCTTTTATCTAGTTGTTGTCCTAGTTGTGGCTCTTCCTCCTATTCCTCAGGATTATTCTGTCCTCTTCTTCCATACACCATCTCCACTAGATAAGACCATATCAGGTACTTGTATTCTCATTGCCCATATATTGACAGAAAGAAAGAATCAGTGGACTTTCAAAGGCTTTCCCCATTTTGGAGAATGTAAAATTACACACACACACACACACACACACACACACACACACACATACGAGTCTTTCTCTGTGTGTGTGTATCTGTGTAATTTTACATTCTCTGAAATGGGGAAAGCCTTTGAAATTCCACTGATTCTTTCTTTCTGTCAATGCTGCATTTTTAAAGAGGAAAAGAAAGATAATGTGCAATTTAATCTATTATATGACATACTATTTTCAAACCAATAATTCAGATTTTTATCTTAAGAAAATGGTAAGTCCCCTCCTAAAAATCTCACTCTGAGTTACAACAGGGTATGTTGTTCAGGGTCATGTTAAAAGATTTAAATAAAAACTCACAATCTCAATAGCATTTCACAATTATGCATTTATGTTACCTTTATTTGTCCTTTTTATTTTGCTATATCTGTCCACCACCTATAACTCATTTGTTTTTGTGTGTGATCAAGAGTAAATGCTATTTAATAGTCATGACTAATACCATTGTCTTGATGTAATCAATTGCCTACATTTTGTGAAAAAGTATTAGTGTCATCAACTTTCAAGACAAACATTAGTAGCAAAGGAACAGTCTTAATAAAGTCAAAAGAAAATGATTATTTTAACAGATTAGTTCAGAGTTAAGGATAACTTCTATATCACATTTGACAAATGCAGTTTTTTTACTTCTCGAGTAAAGTTTAATCAATTTAATGTGTCACTAAATTAAGTAGCATTTTTGCAATATTTCAGTACAGCTACTGGAAGACCTTTTCCTCATTTACCTAACATACTGATACATTTATTAGATAAGCAGAGAACATTGTGAAAGAATGAAATATTTGACAATTTGGCCATATTTATCACACCAGTCACTGTACTTTAAGATTCTATTGATTGGAATAAGTTGGAACTTAAATACAAACTTAACTGAGTTCCACTAAAATAAGACATTAAAGTGGAATTGGCATTGCATCCATATATATATGTAATAAAAAGTAGAATTACATATTTTCCTACAGAGAAGTGTTTCCATTTGCTTCTGTGCTTAATATCAAGAGTTACATTTCAAACACTTTTTGACCATTAGAGGTAGCTGATTCTGTTGATTTTAATCTGCCGAACCTCATTTCACTAAATGAATTCTGATGAGCTGAACTATTTATGTAAGTATGAATGCTATACATAAAAATATTTGTATGAAAATAATTTTACATATAACATTGTTCATCTGTGCTTTTCTCTAACATGTATGGCTTCTGTAGATTTTATGCAAACATTTTGAATTGCAAATTGCATCACAATATAATCAAATTTAAATGCACATGGTTCCCAGGTTTTTCCTTCAGACGCACAGGATTAAAATCATTACATTCATCTAAACAGTCTGATGAACCAATTGTCTTGTCTGTTCCTCTCTTCAGTGTGCAATTTGCTTTTCCAGGCCAATTTTCTGAGAGGAAGCATAGCCATTCTGCTTTTGTTAGGCACATATACATATAATCAGATTATCCAGCTCAATTTTGGCTGGAAAATACTCATCATAAAAATAATATTTCATTAAATTATTGTAATGTTTTGAAAAAAAGATAGGTTCTGTTCTCTGGTTCATCGAACAGCACCTCATCATATCATTCCCAATTAAACTATCTGCATGCATTTAACAGATGGAAGTAAGATTTTTTGGGTTTTCTTTGCATCTATTATATCTCACTCTTTAAAAAATCCCCAGAAATTTTTCCTTTAAAACTCATCAAGATTTATGTGTGTGGGTGTGCATGCCTGTGTGTGTGTATTTTACACACACACACACACACACACACACACACACACACACACACACACACACAGTTATAAAGTATACTTTTTAATAAGTGAAGGGTCTATCTTTCCATGTTTTTGAACTATTGATTTTTGCCCTTGGAAAACCTCATTTCACCCCACCCCACCTTACAAAAGTAAAAAATTATTTCCTTAAACAAAACATGTTCCCTTTCCTGCACATTTTTAAAACTATTAAATAATTTATTATTTGCATGATAACAATTATATACAATATATTTAAGGTTTTTTTAAAAAAATAAAGAGATTGCATTAAGCTATATATTTGGACACAAAACAACTTGACAACATTTCACTGAATTGCTTACAAATCCTCCTCCTTGCCAGAAAATTTGTTCACACAAAAGAAAAGAAACTCATCAACAATCCATTGCTGCACATCAAGTGTCAATTTGCCTTTCCACAGTTCTGTAATAACTCTCTTGGCTGCTGCTGATATACAGATAATTCAACATTCTTAGTTGTTTGATTGATTTGTTTATTTTGTTAGTTTGTTAAATACCATTTCAGGCTCGTCACTCTAAGCACCATATAAGAACATCTTATTCAGTTTCAAATATCAAGCAACATAAATCCACCCTAATTTCTAGCAGCTCTTACTCTACCATTCTAAAAGCCTTGCTCAAAAACCAGGTGGTAACTGTCTTCTAAACAGACAAAACTTGCTTCCAGAGGGTGGAGAAGGAGAGGCAGAGCAGAGAATACAACCCATCTGTCACTGGATCTTCTGCATCAGGACTGGTAGCTGGTTCCCTTTGCAGGCTCATATCAGATTTCACTTTCCCTTAGAGCAGAAGCTCTCATTCATGAGGGTGATGATAAGCAGCTTCAATTGTAGAAGGTTCCACAAATTTGAGGTGTCATATAGAAGAATATCTTTTATAATTACAAACATGCTAATATTGTTCTGCCAGTCCTGTAAATTTCAGATTAAGATATTTTAAACAGGAAAGATTTCATAGTGCACTCCAATATTGATCTTTACAAGAGAGAGCAGCAGAGAGAGATTGAGAGAGAGAGACAGCAGGAGAGGGAGAGAGAGAGCAGGAGAGAGAGAGGGAGAGAGAGGGAGGGAGAGAGAGAGAGAGAGAGAGAGAGAGAGAGAGAGATATCTGAGATTGGCATGCATGGTCAGGAATTAAAGGAAAACTTGCAATGCTTCAATATTGCACTGAACCGACAGTAATCTTTGTTATTCTCCTTTCCTTTCTACACCATTGTAGACCACACAGTAAATGAAGGCTGATGTGTGTATTATGAAACAATCAGCAACATTTAAATTACTACAACCTCACAACTGAAGGCATTATTTTAGTAGGCGACAGGTCTACTATGTAGTTCAAATAACAGATGCACAAAGATTCCACTGACTCTGCTTTTCTAAAGGGAACACCTTGGTTTGCAGTTCTGAGACTAATGCATGCATCCTAAAATGTATTTGTAAGCTTACATGCAGAAAGAGAGCAAAAATCTTCTCAAAAGAAACTGATATGCTGATAAATAAGATGAAATTGATGTACAAAATAGGACTAATGGGTTATTTGAAGAAAATATGCATGGATTGGGAACAGACTGATAAAACCATTTTTAATTCAAAATCTGTTTTAAACAATCATTCCGATATGCAATCACTGATAAAGAAACTATATACTCAAGATATAATCCAGATTTTGAGCCTGCATATAACTTGTCATAGTTTATGATCTTCATGTATGAATGAATATATATATCTTTTCTTCTAGAATATGGCAGTTTAATATACAGGTTTCACAATTGCCATAATATTTTTGATATTTTGTATTTCATGTTTTACATCGGTGTAAAACAATTTCCTACTGCACAGTAGATGTTTTTCCCATCTGTTTGTGACAATATAACATTTTAAAAACTGACACCATAAGAACTCCAAGCCATTTTTTGTCTTTTGAAATGAATCATGAAGTTAGGAGAGCAGCTTTCATCCAATTCTAGGTAATACATGAAAAATAATTTCCAAAGGCATTGCAATTACATCAACATGAATGTAATAATTCCAGCAGTAGTATCAAATAATTTTACAATATTGATTTAAAAAGTCAACACAATTATTGCATCTACAGCTATCAAACAACAATTTTGCCATTGGTTGATTGTGCAATTAATAGTGACATAACTATCAAGATTCTTTATTTTTCCTAACAAAAATAAGGTGTAGGATAGATTACCTATAATTACTGATATTCTTATCATTTTACTTTATTATCCAACTAGAAAGCTGGAAATCATAGATATATTTCTCTAAATAAACTAAGTCCATCTTAATAGATATCAGTAGGTTCTCCATTTACGGAGTATATATGTAAGAAAAATATAGTACATATTTGCATGCACATCTAAAATTGAAATATAAGATATCACTTTATAATCAAGTAGAATATCTTCACATAGAAAATTTCAAGGTAAGCCTCCTTGATTATAGCCTACAAGATCATTCTTGATCATTCAGTATCTATACTAATTTATATAGGTTTATTATATACAGTATTCATAATACTGTATATAATAAACCTATGTAAATTAGTATATCTTAACATTATCCAATTTGGCTCTTAAAATAGTATTCCAAACTCATTTCAGAAGTCTGTTTCATTATGAACACTGATTATGCTGAACACAAATTCTGGATGCAGATATATCAGGAAAGCTAAGGTTTAAGTCATCAGGCTAGAAACCAGGAGTTGTATTTCTAGTCCCAACTTAAGCATTAAATGGATAGCTTTGAGCTTGTTACACTCTCTAGGAAGCACCTTTTTCCTAAGGTGTGCCACAGTTGTGTGTGCACATGCTATTGCCCATGCACGTGTGCCCACACCAATTCAATCCTCCCTGCTTGCTTGTGTATGCGCATGTGACCCCCCCCATGTACATGTGCACACAACCCCTCCCCAGGCTCCAGAAGCCTTCCAGAAGCTGGAAATGGATCTTTTCAGAACTTCCTGTTGGTCCATTGGGCCTGTTTTTTGCCCTCTCCAGCCTCCGGAGGCTTTCCTGAAGCCTGGGGAGGGTGAAAACGGCCTCTCCAGCCTTTGGGAAGGCCGAAAATCAGCTGGCCAGCACGCACATGCACACCAGAAATGATGGCTGGTGTGCCAGCAAATATGGCTCTGTGCACCACCTGCAGCCTGCATGCCAAGGGCTAAGGGCATGAGTGACTGCAAACACGGCCTGTTAAACTAGGAAAGGGCATAACTAGTGCACAAGATGAAACTATAGAGCGGCCCTCCAAACCACAACTGCCATTTCACTATTGGAATAGTGAAAATGTTTTGAATGACAAGACTTGTACGCTTTACCTTTTACCCATATGAATTTTGTGAAATATGCATGAATATAAGTTGTATGAACATCAGAATGCTATTCTTTTCATGTCTTACTTGTTCTCATGATCTTCTCAAGATCATTTAATTATTCACATGAGATAAGTTTGCTCTTGTGTGTTCATTTAGCTTATCTCTCTGCTCTGGTAATGGTAACCATAAAATGCTACTTTATTCAGTTTCCTTTATTGAATAAAGGAAATGGAGTATTCTTAGGACTTTCTATTTCCGTGTTGCTGGAAGAAATAAACCCAGAATTAAGCTGGTTGTCTTCCAATCTTATTTACTTTTTCTGGTCTTTGTTTTGCATGTGATTTCTATTATATTAAATCTTTTTAGCAAGTCTTTAGAAATGTTTGTTCCCATTTTTTTCAACCCAAAAGCTTTAAAGGTTCCTTGGTATTAGCAGAAGTAATGTGATTGAATCCTCATGAACCTCGTCATTTTTCATTCTGTTGCTTTCTCTAGGCCATATTTTATTTTTTTTAATGAGAGAGAAAAAAGTTTTCTCATAGATCTTAATGTCTGAAATGGAGGATGTAATAAACAATCTAAGTCTCAATAAAGACTATCTAAAATACCAGACTTTCTAAACCAGACTTGAAATTGAAATGATATAGCCAACTACAAGCCCTAAACCTATTTTGCAGAAGATGCTGTCTTGCAGTCAATACTGAAATATGATTCAGTTGGCTTTAATATGTGGGGTGTCATCTTATATTTGTTTCAGGAAGCATTGTGTTGGCTTGTGCTGTCTGACTGCAATAATAGATATTTTGTTTACTGGTTACACTTTCCCTGATCATCTGTGAATGACCCCTGCTACTAGGACCAATTTTGCTTGCCCTCTCTAGTGCTCCCATTCTGAAAGCCCATGTTTGGGATAGTCTATTCAGTTGTTAGAGGAAGCCATTCAGGTTTTCAGTGCCTCTTGCTTGACTTAATCAGTAGACAATTAATAAAAGTCATCATTTTTTATCATTACAATTTATAGAATTTATATTTACATTTCTATTGAATTTTCTTTGTGACTTAACACAAAAAGAAATTCTATTGAACCACTGTAGCTTTTTGTTGATCAGGTAAGAATAGCTAAATTCTCTCATCTGTTATCCCCTGGCCTAATCTGTATAGACTTCAAAATTAAGCAGAGTTTGGCTTTTTTGGGTATGGTTAGCTAGGAGACCATAAAAGAATTTGTGAATTTTAGGCAAGGCTGAGTAATTTAAAACAAAATTCGAAATATAATAGTATGAATTAATTTTAGAAGTTTACAGGTAGTCCCTGACCCATGACTTTAATGTAGCCTGAATGTTATCATCATAATTTAAGATGGTCATAAAGTGACTGATCCAATTTTACAATCTTCAATCTTTTACAATCGCAGGCCTACATGTGATTTCCACTACTGGTTCGGGTGAACCAGTCTCAACTCTTCTGTTTACAACGTGAACTATGAGAATTCACAGTACTACAAAGAGTGGCATGTTTTAACATCCTTTATTCAAAGATTCCTGGAATAGATATAAGCACACTGTTCTTAGTGAAAAACTCTGCCATGTGAGACAAGTGAGGCAGAAACATTTGACTATGTCTTTCTGTACTTCCTCTTCTACAGTAACAGTTGTAATACCCTTATAGATCCTTTTGCTAAAAAAAAATCTGAGGTGTTCTGCATAAATCTTAGGTCCACTTCCATTCGGAGATGAAAAACATAATCGTGTGGCAAATGGCAATCTGTCTGGCAGCCTGACAGGGCTTATGAAGCCACACAATGGAACAAAAAGCCTGGGGACATAGAAATGAGGGATGTTCTCTCTCATTGTTGTATTTGCATTAAACCTATATGTCTCTTGTTTTGTTATTATAATATGAATCATATTAATAAATTGTTGTTATTAGGCAGAGGCCAGAATAATTGATTGAGTGATGTTGATTGATTGATAACGTTGATTGATGTTTCTGATGGAAAAGAGTAAGTAGGGCCCATGCTTCTACTGTTTTGAAGGAGGACACTGAATCTGGTTTTGCATTTTTTTTTGTGCTGTTCATGAAACTGACTTATAGTTTGTACAGCAATCATGCAATATGTATAAATGTCAGTATTCTAGGGATGCTTTATCCAGTTATAAGACAAAGAATGTAGAAGAAATACCTTGAAATTTTATCCAAAGAGAAATCTCAACAATGTCAATGGCAGAGGGAAAGAAATCTGAATTTCACCTCTTCTCAGTTTTTGAATTTAATTCCTCTAGTCCTGTCCAAGTCTGCATAAGACTTATTGTTTTTCATCATTCTAATTAAAAAAAACAGACATCATGCTTGCCAACATAGTCTTGCTATATTACCTTGGTAACAGAATACAGGCTGAGAAGATGTTTCCTTTGGACACCATTTTTGGATCCCCCTTGTCCAACTTGTTGCCCCAGAGATGTGGAGTTATAGAAGAAGAGATGCATACAAGGGAAGAGGAAGCAAAAGATGGAAGAACCATTGTCCCTATGTTATGCGATCTCTTTCTCTATTGCTGCTTACAAATAATCTGCCACTTTAGCAATAACAGTGCAAGTAGTAGCAACTTCTTTCTCCTTTTCTCAGTTATATATTTGAAAAGCAGGGTAAGGAGGAGTTTGGCCAGATGATAGGTTCCCAGGTTCTAACTCTGGCCATTTTCTTTCTCCAATCATTTTTATTCCATCCTATTTGTAAAAGAATGAAGGGATAGAGAAAAAAATGCAGTTCTTCTGATAGGCATTAGTAAAAGTGTTCCATCCATATTTGAAATGAGAAGGAAGACAAGTCCACTGAACACAGAGAAATATATACTTCATAGTGAACTAGAAGGCAGGGGTCTCAGTCCCTGATTTTTTTTACCTTCCTCCAAATCATTACAAGAGTAAAAGATCATCCAGTGTCAATGGGGAATCCATCTGAGAGGTTGTATTAAGGCCTGGTGAGTTTTACATATGGCCCATCTTCCCCTTCCTTTTTTTATAGTTTTCAATATTCACTTTCAAGCTAAAGATGGATAATACATATAGATCCATACAAGTTACCTCTATGTTGAGATAAAAACATAGCAACATGAGTTCTTTAAATTATACCCCCAAATGTATCTACTGAATGATTTTTAATTATGCTCAATGGACCAAACAGTAAATATTGTACAGTATGCATATTGTGTTATTAAACAGCAGTTTTTATTTCTCCTAAATATAAACACTATTTTTAAAATGAGCCTTTAAACTTTAATGGGAGAAAATAGTGCGCTGTTTCTAGTTTCTAGCTTCTCAAATAACCCATGAATAGACATATTTGTGTATTATCATTTCCAGGATGGAATGGGAAATCTCAGAGTCACCAAAAAAGGAATTCGACTTGAAGGGATATCTGAATTTCTACTTCCATTGTATGTGAAAGAAATCCATTCCCGAAAGGTAGGTTCCAACATCTGTTTTGCTACAATTACCATTTTAAAAAATGAAAGATTTTAGTTCAAAAGCGTAAGCTGTAATACAGGCTAGTGTCTCCAACAAGATGTTTTTTTTAAAAACCAGTTAACAAACTAATCAACCATGAAGCTTAATGGTCATGTGGCTGCCAATTCTATACCGTCATCTTCTGTCAATTGTTCAGACAGAATTAGACTTATAGTCAGCACACTGGAAACCATGATTCTGGGAAAGTTGCTTTACATTTCTCATATGAGTGTTGATGCATTTGTTCCCATGTTTCAAACATATTTGTTAGAGTGATAAAGAAGAAAAAATGAACAATATGGATCCAACCCAGTTTATAAACTTTCATTTCCAAGTGTGGCTTCTTTCTTTTTTCCAATGATGAAATACAGCATTTTTTTCCTAGTTCAGAATTTCATATGCATCTATTTCACAAATATCATTGAAAAGTTCTGAAAAGCACAGAGAGTGAGATCAGTTGGCTTGTAGGCTTCTAAAGGTATTCATTTATTTAATTTTACAGTTCTTATAATACAGATGGTGAAGTACAGAAACACATAGTTGACTTCTGTAAATCAGTATTTTAAAAAAAGGTTTTCTCTTCTTTTAAGCTTGTAACCCAAGAGCAGATGAGATGCATACATAATTCAACATTAGGAAAAGACTGATTCCAAAGGAACATTTTGCAGTCATGGAAAGTTGATATATTTGGAACATAAGATAGTTTTGTTGGGAAGTTTGTTTTATATTTAATTGTATTGTTGTAGGATAATGGGAATGCTTATATAAGCAAAAGTAGGTATAAATGTTAATAGCAGTGATAACACTAGGATCCTAGTAAGGATCATTATTTATACAAGAATATCAGATAGGTTTATTAGTATTTTTCCTTTATAGAAAAAAATAGGTGCTAATTTTGGTGGTGAAAATTTGAACAATCTGAATATACAAGAGTTTAGCAGGCAAATCATTTTATCAATTAGCAGTTTTAAAAGATGAGTATATAATATGGACAAACTGATCAAGACTAAACCATCTCTATGGATTGCAATTCATTTCCTTCCCAAGATATATATCCATGTAGTCACAGGCTCTGTGCCTTAATATCTACTAGATGGCTTGGATTTCAACTTTCAATTCACAACTTTTTCTATTACTCACACTTTACAGATTATGCAGAGTTACTTGTTGGTTGGTTTGTTGCAATTATATCCTTACACAATCTGGTTGTGTACATGCTTTACAGTTCGAAAGCATTTGGAACATTCACAGTATGTTTTACTGTGTGATTAAAAACGAAAATTAACAAATAGTTGTGCCAATTAGGACCTGGAGTTGAGTCTGGGAAACTAGAATATGCCATAGTGCAGTCTGTTTTTCAACTCTCAATGTTGTATTTTTCTCTACCCATCACTATTGGAATTTTATTGCCTACTCCCATCATTTCCAAGCCTTCTCTCATTCCCTGTTCATGGCCATGTATATACTGCCTTATGGATCCCAGCCCAATCACCCAATCAGGAGAAAGTGAAGAAACAAGTTCCTGTGGTATATCAGCATTAATTATCAGTGCCAGGAGTTCTCCCTCATCTCCAACCCCATTCATATACAATCTATGCCAGAGGTATCAAACTCCAAATGAATCTGGCCCACAGGATGCTTAGATCTGGCCCACAGGTTGACCTGGAAACAGCGAAGGGCTGGCCCATGGGACCTCTGCCAGTGGAAATGGTTGCAGGAGGTCTTTGCAGCTGAAAACAGAGCTTAGGAGCCCATTTTCATTGGCAGAGCGCTTGAGCCACTATAGGCGCCCCCAATATGAGTGACATTGAGCTGACCACACTGACCCTGGCTATGCCCCCCCCGGCCGCCCAAGGTCAAACACAACCCTGATGCAGCCCTCAATGAAAGTGAGTTTGATACCCCTGATCTATGCCATCCCAGTGTACACACATTGCTATGGTTGTTCACATAGTCAGCTAGTTGTTTAGACTGGATTTGGCATTTTTATCAACCTCTCGAGTCCTTCCTAAGGATCTGGGATAGGCAGATATTGTTTGCTGGTGTTAAAAGTATGTTGGAAGGTGTTAGCTGTTTCAAGTAAGCTGCCTCTTGCAATTGACTGGTGGTGATTTTTGTTAATGCTAATAGTATTCAAGTGGTGCTCCATATGTTCGGGGTTTGCACCCACAGTGCCTATTACCATTGGTACTTTCCAGAGCACTATCTTCTTCATTTTCTATGACTTTCACTATTTTCTGGTCTCATCAGTTCTTGTTTGCTGGCAAATGGTATTTCTTTCAGATCTTCCAATGCACCATTTTTGCTACTTTGTCATGCCATTGTTTATAGTCAGTTTGCGCAATCTTCTTGCAGCAGCTAACTAGATGGATCACTGTTTCTACAGCTTCTTTGCAATGACAGGATGTATTGCTTGGTTCTCAGTTCTGGATGCTTTTGTTCTTAAGACTCAGTCTTATGCACCCAGAATTAACCCATTTGTGTCATTCTTCAATTTTTCTGTTTTTATTGCCAGTTTTTATGGTTATGTGCTTTCCCTGCTTTTTTTAAATCTATAGACCATATGATACTTTACTTTGCCATGTCTCTTGTCTTTTCTTCATTTGACGTTTCTTGTAAGCCAATTTGGTCTCTCCGGGTCTCAGTAAGTGTGGTATAGGAGTTTCAGTGTGTCTTCTTCACTGTTCTTCAATATTCATCCAATGCCCTTTTTTTCTTCTTCAGTTGCCTGGTATACTTGCAATATTCCACAGTGACTTATTTTTTTCCTTTTTACAGAGTCTTTCAACATTACTACATGGCTCAAGGGCTTGATTTGCTGTCATTATTTTTCTAGTTTTCGTATCAGATCTTTCAGTTCTTCTTTTCTGGTTTTTCTATCAGACCTAATAGTTTTTTCCTTAGTTCCTATCAGACCCTTTAGTTTTTTCTTAATAGTCCACTATTCCAGCTGTGTATCTAATGACTGAAATTGCCCAAGTGTTAATTGCCTTGATAGTATTGCCTTCACTGAATTTGGATTTTACAATCTTCTTCACTCTTACTTCTAACCTTCTTCTTGACTTCAGTGTGCTTTATGTTGTCAGCTTGAAGAATGCCCAGGTATTTGTAGTGGTCTTCTTCATCCAGACTCTTGATTTTATTTCCAAAAGGCATTTTGGAATTTCTTCAGTTTTCACTATTTGTACCCTGTTGATGGTTAGGGTGGCACCTTTGTCTAGTCCAAACACTATTACAGTGTTATTGTCATCTATAGTATTTCTTGTTGAAGAAATAGTTTATGTAATTAACTAATTTAATAAATAAAATATTTATTACATTCTTTTCATATAATAAATGTTGGGAATTGATAAGCAATTGGAAATTTCATGAAGGGATCTGTGAATTGAAGAATTTTGGGCACCCCGTTTTAGATGGTTTGAAGCAAGAAGACAATGTGACCAGAAGCCACATACATATATTCACTTTCTGAAAGAACCTTTTTCTCTCTTCCTATTAGCCTGATTCTCTTTGTGATCTTTTCACTCACACATACACACATTTTATCTTTCTACCCCAGGCAGCTGGCCAAGTGAAGGAAAAGATAACTCTTACTAAAACATCTGTGCCAAGAAGCTTAAATTTAGCCAAGGGCAGTTCTTACACTGAAATTGCCAATACCTGGCTTTATACAGAGTTGTTTTAAACCAAATCAGAAAGAAATTGAAAAGTTCAATCAGAAAAAAGCAAACTCAACCTATCATATTATTGTTTAATATCAAATTGTTTAATCATTTAAATTAGGCTATGCCACCTAATAACTGAAATAAACAAGACAAGGGTGAAGTAATCAAAGGTACATTTTTAGAAAATTTGGTGCGTGAATTCTTTCTCTATAGCCTGTCACTTCTTGAGTTCTTTATAGCATATCATTGCTAACCATTAATCAAGGAGTGATGTGAAAATGTTTAGAATCAATGAAGTGTAGAGAATTTTAATATGCATAGTTGTACTGAAGTTGTCAAGTGCTATTTTAAAAATTTTCTCTGCCAGAAAATCTACAATAAGCACTGATTCTCTAGCTCCATGGAATTAATTGGGTACAGTTTTTACTGGATATTATTCAGGAAAAGTTAGTTTCTTGACAAGAATGTCCATCTTTTTTAATGCCCTGAAAAGTTTGCTTATTTAAATTTCTCTGTTGAATATAATTTCTATATAAAATGTCAAGAGATATAGCAAAAGAAAATCATGGGACAATTTTCAACACTGCTTCCTTAGTAATATATTTATTGATAAACAATTGTGCAAGCATGAAAGACTTTTAGATTGCTTGGTTTCTCTGCATATTTATTGTTTATGCTTATGAGGTATGCCTATACCTCAGTTGCACAAATATATTTGTATGTAAAAGAGAAAAAGACTGAGAAAACCGGTTGCAATGGGATCCGAAACCCACCACTGATTGATAAATATATATGCTTATTTAGTTACAGGGTATGTAATTGCAGCTCTGTTGGTATGTATCTGCCTATCTCTTGGTATTCACAAACTGTGTATGACAGATGAAATTCAACATTTGCCATAAATTAGATGTTATGACATATATATTTCAACAGTGGACAGAGTATGTTAGTGTGTAATTAGACCATAAACATATGAAGTTTTCAAAGTTTCTGTTGAATGCCTTTCAAAAATGCCATTTTTCTAGGGAGAAAAAAGCTAGCCAAAAATGAGAGCTGGAATAATATTATACTGCATTAAAAAAGAGAAAAAAGAAAGTCATTATTTAGTAAGTCCACATTCAAAACTCACAAAACTGATGGTGTGGCAATATATACTGTATGCATGTAATTCATTTTGCCGATTGATTATAAATAGAATGATGTTCTAAATTAATAGCCCTCCCAAAAGACATATTATCCATTTGGGAGAAACATATCATTTAAATTATGTATCACAGGGAAATGCAGACTTTC